CCAGCGCCATCCGCTTCTCGCTGGTGGCAGTGTCGTGTCCCCCCCCCTTCCCTGCTGTGGGCTTGCGTGCGAGGGTGAGCGGCTGCTGCGGTGGCTGAGCTGGCTGGAAGCTGAGGGCTGTGGTGGGGCTGTGCAGAGAGGAAGCAGCCTCCACTGCGCAGAAGGGGTAGCGCTGAGGAGGCAGTGGTTGACTTGTAGACATGTGGGCACCTCAACCCCTGCATCTTCCTCGAATCCCTTCCCTGTTCTCTTTCCAGCTGTGCCGGCCTGGGAAGCACGCAGGGTCCGAGCTGCCTGGAGACCTTCCCTTACTGGAGTGACTTCGGCATGGATGACACCCACTCGGACAGTCCGGATGAGCCAGCTGAGCCCTTGGGCGGACGGCGTGAGATGCAGTAAACGGCTGTAGCGACCTCGCCTGCCTTCCCCAGGACCTGCAGCCCTCGCTGGAAGAGGGACCGCTGCTGAGCCGGAGGGATGTCCAGGCTGGCAGGACTGGGGCTGCGTTGGGAACATGGCCTTGTCCCGGGCTCTGCGGTGTCCAGGGCTCACGTGCTCTCTCCCTGCTGACTCTCGACTGTCCTTGATGTCCCAGGCAGTGCGTTCATATCGCTCTTCTCTTTGGAGAAGAGATCTAGTGGTTAGTGAAACCTGTGTTTGTTGTTCCCATGGCCTTTGCTCGCTGACTGGAGCAGTAGCAGGGCTCAGTTCGGTTGCGGCGCCAGCGAGGCCCTGTGGGGTTGTTTTGTTTTTTTTGGTATGTCCCTGGCTCAGGGCAGGGTGGGATACACTGCCTCACGTCCAGCATGATGGAGGAAGGCTTTCCTCGGTGGAACTGCAGGCTGGGAGCAGGAGCTGGCCGTGGCCCAGCGGGTCTCTTTAGTCCCCCGCGTTCCCCTCGGCGCCGCGGGCAGGGGAGGCTGCATTTCCCCGGTAACGGCTCCTGGGGACGGCGGTCTCAGCTGTACGGAGCCCAAACGTGGGGAGCACATACCATATACCCACCTGGGGCCTCCTGGCACAGCTCGCCCCGCAGGTTGCCCGCAGCTGGGACGAACCGAGATGAGCTTCCTCCCGGGAACGTGGGGCAGGGGAATGAGTTGGTAGGAGGGGGTAAAGGGGGAGCGGTTTGTCTCCCCTTCCAGATGGGCTTCTTCCTCACACACCAATTGCCATGCACAGGCGGGGGGAAACGGGGGTCTCGCAGTCGGGATCTGGTTTGCTTAGAAAGAAGGAGCACGTCGCTGCCTCGGAGTTGGTGTCTGGCAGTTTGTGGGCTCTGGTTTACTCTGGAAGCCTCTCCCTGTGCTCTCCTGCACCTTCTCGTCCCACCCTCAGCACTGGTGAAGGCAGAGCCGACGTGCTCTGACTGGAAATAAAAATCAAGTAGAAGAGACTTACTGGTTGCTGGCAATGTGTGTCCTCGCTGCGTGGGCGGAGGGAGCTGAGCCCAGGCTGAGCTAATTGCGGAGAGATGGCTTTAGGGAAAAGAGGGGGTTATTGCACCTCTCACCACAGGGCTGGAGATGCCGAAACCATCACGGGTGACCCTGCCCTGGGCAGCAGAGAGGTCGCCGGGGCCAGCATGGGATGCTGGGGACAGCCCTGGAGTTGTGGCAGGGGACAGGCAGGGGTCCCACCTTAGCCCCGAAATGAGTTTTGCAGTGCTGGGCCTGGGGGGGGGTGTCTCGGCTCCACGCAGGGTCCAGGACGGACCGGGGGGGGGCAAGGGAGGGTTGGAAACCCGACGAGGCGCATCCGAAATGTCAGGAGAAGTTCATTGCGAAGGCTGGCAGCTGCTGGGCCGCCAGAACGCCG